CAAATACGCCAGCATTCTACACACCTCACCAACTATATGGTGAGGTCAGATGGTCACAGGTTAGAGATCGTCGTCCTCATCTGGGAGTGCCGTTTCCGACGCCACCTTTAAGGAAAACAGTGTGTGATCATCTAGGCCTCTGACTTTGATATTGCCTCAGAGATTAATCTGGTCTGATGTAAAACAAATCCATTTAAATGAGTTGTTTAAAAATAATATTCCCAATCAATAATTTGAAAAGATGTCTGCAGATTTCAACACAATGTAATTAAAAGATAAGATTATTTTGGTGTGTGTGTGTGTCCCCTCAAAAAAGTCTATTTTTGGTCAATATAAGGCAACTTAAGGGAGACACTCAACACAAAAGCAACTCATACTTACTTTGAGGTCATGCTCATACTGTGCAGCGAGGGTGGGGTCCATGGCAACCTCAGGGGGTGCAAGAGCTGGCATCGCCACAAATTCTAGGTTTGGGTCTCCTATCAGCTTCCTGGCCAGCCATAAGAAAGGCTTCTCGAAGTTGTAATTACTCTTGGCAGAGATGTCATAATACTACATGGAAAGATTTGGGGGGGGGGGGGGGAGGGAGCAGGTTCACATGTCAAAATGAATATCATCTGGACAGCGGTGGGGAAAATGAGCAGAAATAAACTGGGTAATGGCCTCATATTTAGAAGGAACTAACTAATCGGTTCACCGTAAACCTCACCGCTCGGCGTACAGGACGGTCCAAAAGAAGGTTTGCAAAACGGGAAGCATTAAAACATGAACAACCTTTCCGCAAATATTATATATTTATACATAACTGTAATCCTACTTTTAAGCCACCTGATATATATATATATGTGATAACTGTACGCACGTCTTCATAACCTAAATGCAGAGTATACAGTCGACACAATATTGGTCACGCTAATCCGCACAAGGCTGATCAATGAAGGGATGGCAGCAGACAGCGAACACGGCACCGGCACCTGCAGGTTCTTCTTGCGGTGGAAGACGATGCTCTTGGCTTTGACCTTCCTGTCCTTGATGTCCACCTTGTTGCCGCAAAGGACGATGGGAATGTTCTCGCACACGCGTACCAGGTCACGGTGCCAGTTGGGCACGTTCTTGTAGGTGACCCGCGAGGTCACGTCGAACATGATGATCGCACACTGAGCTAAAAACAAGAGAATCCATGTCGATAAGTCATGACGATAAAACTCGGACGGCATAAGGAATTACGGGGTAAAGAACGAGCACACAGACAATTCAAAACCGACAAAAACATGAGAGAAACCAGCAAAGCACATTTTGGGTGTCAACGGACAAACTGGTTACCTTGTATGTAGTAACCATCCCGAAGTCCCCCAAACTTCTCCTGGCCTGCCGTATCCCACACGTTGAACTTGATAGCCCCTCTGTTTGTGTGAAACACCAAGGGATGTACCTCCACTCCCAGGGTAGCTACAGAGCAATGGAATCACAATAAAACAAAAGCCAAAGGCAGACTCTCAAGCCAGGAGAAGAAGCTATAGATATAGATAGAAATATAGATAGTGGGGAGTAAATCACCATAATAAACCTTTGCCAAAGCCTGAGGACCTGGAATGCCAGCTTTTGCAACATTATATATTAGCCGGATAAAGGCAGTCATTTTCATTCAGGCCTACTGAGAGACGTGTATTTCAATGTGGACGGTAATACCACAATTAACCTATAATAATGACAGGATGTGGCTAAAACCAAGTCTTAAAAAAGCGAGGAAAACTAGGGTGATGGAGCACTTACCAACATACTTCTTCTCAAACTCTCCTGTCAAGTGTCTCTTCACGAAGGTGGTTTTGCCGGTACCTCCATCACCCACCAACACCAACTGCAAGGCAGGAAATTTAATCCGATTAGAAGCCGGTCAGCAGTCGCATGCGGCACGGTGTATCCTTTTCTAGTTATTGCATTATAATACTTCCGCAGGAATAAACTGAAGCAAAAACCTACCTTAAACTGGACCTGCGGCTCTCCTTCTGCCATGACTTGTGTTCAGACTGATGCTGCTGTATTGAGGAAGACAGCGATCGCATAGTCAAGGCGCCAGCAGAGGCACTAGGGTGCGTCACACACTCAGCCAGTTCAGATTGCTCACCACGTTATAAGTCACAGCGCAGCAATGCTTCCAGTAAGTTCCAGCTGAGCGGGGCAACCCGGGAAATACGCTCCGCAGCCACCAGGCAAAAGTCAGCCGGTTGCCTCGAGCAATAGCGCAAAACGGCACCGGGATCAAACCGGATACAGTCAGATGCCGCCTTTACAGGGCAGATAGACTGGTTCCTTTAGCAGGACGATCATGCTCTGACCGAGCAAAATTAAACACCTAAGTAGCTCCAGACTGCATTTTTGTTATACATACGTATAACGTACGATAATAAAAAAAAATCATTGCTAATATGAGTAAGAAAGACCCCCCCTACTTTAGCTACTACGCCTAACCGACAATTAGCTTATTCACTCTGTCTTATCCTTTAATAAACTAAATAGCAAGCTTACTAAGGGGTAAAATATACCATCCGCGTTAATTTTACGGTCCTGCGACACTTACTGGAGTATGAACAACATAAATGGACATACTGAACATTTTCCGAAGAGTTAGTAAAACATATAGGTATAGCAGAGTTAGCACGCTTGTTAGCTTAAAAGGCTAGCCATTCCACATTTGCATTTGTTCTGCAAACTTTCAAATTAAGGCAAAAGTATTGAGAATAATTGGTGGCGATGTGTTGCGCAAGACTTACAATGAAGGTTAATATTTTTTCCTTCAGTGATATTACACGATCGTATTACATTAGAAAAACTGGCCTGGACTTACCCGGCGTTGGATGGAAAGGGAAAAAGAGCAAATGGAAGCTGTACATGAGCTTCAGCGTGGAGCGGGGGGCGACTTCCGCCTGTGTCATGTGACCAAGTCGAGCGGGCCCAGAGCTCCGCCCACCGCCTGAAAATGGCGTCCCACGCTGCCGGAGAAATACGTAAAAATAACGGATGACACCTGCTGACGGGAAATCGCATATGGTTTGAGACAAAGGAGGGAAAACAACTTCCGTCGTATAAAAATCAGTCGTTCTATAAGGAAGTACAATGGTTAAGGCAAGCCAAAGATATACATAGGCCTTCACACACAAGAGACACCAGTGCATGTTTTTAGACTGCTGAAGGAAGCTGGGGCACCTGGGGAGAACAATTAAGAGTTAGGAATAATGAATACGCCATATGATGAACTGGCATCCTAACCATGGTGTGCACTGTTTTGACTAATGCTCTCCTTGACACTATACTGGATAAGTGGATCTATAATCATTGGCCTCAAAACAGATACCAGTAAATATGACGTCAGTGTAATTTAAATATTATACTTTTTGCTGTTTATAGTTTTTTTTTTTCTATTGACACACAAGCAGCGCATATGATCTGAAGAACAATCAATTTTTTTGACAGAATAATTTTTCCACCAATTAAATCTAATAAAGAGTAGCAAAACTACAGACCCCCAGCAGTCCACATTTTTGCTTCCTCCTGGGGAAACACTGCAGTAGAGTATTGAATCCTATGTGTTGTTGGAAATTCTTATCCAAGTCAGTGAATCTGCCGCTCAGTGGCTGCGTTACAATATCGATGGCATAATGAAGACACTTTATTGTCTCTCCAGATGGGTACTGCTGCAAGATTGCTCTACGTGGAAATGGGGAGACAGGAGACCTTTCTCAAAAGGATAGTTAATGGTGGTTGGCTCTCGGTACAGGTAGCTCATAGTCATTCCTGAATCTCTCAGGGTAGGAGTGGCGAAAGGGAAGTACCAATGGTGGGGAATAAAGGGGAAGACATGATGTTTGTGAAATGCCATGGGAACGAGAATCAGGAACGTGTCTAACCCCTGAAGAGCTCTGCCCACAGTAGGGTCTGAGTGGGCCAGTCTGTCTTAGATGTTGTCACTTATGAGAGAAAGAATGACTATTCAGGTATTTTCCAGAGATCAGCTACCCCACAGAAAACCAGAGGTGGAAAGTTTAGGTTCAGAAAGTACAAATCCAGACAAAGATTTTGTTTCAACCAACCAGTTGAGCATAAAGAGTTACATTCCCAAAGTACACAAATATTTGGTTGAAACAAAATCCTGCTTTGGATTTGTACTTTCTGAACCTGAAATTTCCACCTGCCAAGGGCTGAAACACCTCACCCTAATTCTTGAGAATGAGGTCATTAGAAGCCTTTTAAACTTCAATAAAATGATGGTTAAATACAGGATTTCATTAACATTATTCACAAGGGTAAACTAAAAATGGTTGGGAATGAGTTTTAAATAATAGATTACCATGGAATAAAAAATAAGTATAATAATTACAAACTAACATTGAAGCATTGTTCATTTATTTTTAAAGCTGTTGTTAAAATACCAGGTAATAGGATTACTAACACAGCGAACTACCTAAGTTGAGTTATCTAACATCATTCGGCAAAAATGTAACTTTTCTGTGTTAATTGCTCTGACATGGACAAGTAGTCATGTGATCTACCTATAAAAGCCTAAAAGTTGTAAGTTTGGGTTGCATATTCAGCCACAACTGCTGTCAACCCAAAAAAGACTGTCCCCCTTAGGAATGATGACCGCTTTAATCCTTTTAAATGCAGTTTTCCAGGTAAACCATCGCCATACCCATCCCTAAAAGCAGTTGGAAGTACAAATCCATCAATTTTCTTGAAACCACATAATCCTATTCAGAGTCACAGAGCCTACAAGCCCAAAGCAGGGAACAACCCAGGATGGGGGACCAACCCATCACAGGGCACACCTATGGGCAATCTGGTAACTCCAATTAGCTTTAGCATGTTTTTTGGACTTTGGGAAGGGAAACCGGAGTACTCAAAGGAAACTATGCAACAATAACAACACATGGAACTCTGGCAGAGACTTAAAACCAGGTCCTACAGGTTTGAGGCAACAGTGCTAACCACTGCACCACCATGTTACCCCAGTGCAAAGCCCAAAGCCTCATTTCTGCAGTTCGTCTCGTGGCAGCTACGGTACCTAAACACCCCGTGAATTCTACCTTTCTTCAAGCACTTTAAAAGACTGAACATGGTCCCTAGTAAACCACCTAAATAAACAATATTAATCTACTGCGAGAAATAGCCCATTCCAGATATCCACCGTAGGCGTGAGTAATTTGGGAAAAGCATTATAGCATCTAGATTTATTTTCTTAACTTGCGCAGGACGCCCGTCTACTTCAGAGGAAGATAAGCGGACTGACTCCGGCGCCATTTTTGGAGTGGCAAAGGATGGCTGGTTTTTATAACACGGAGCTGTATTAAATTTAAATGGTCAATTCATTGATACACTGTTTTTTTTAATGTATTTAAGCATTTTAACTATTTTCAGAAATATTTTATGTTACTGCCTGCTTGAAGCCTATAACGAAGCTGCGAGTTATTTACCTTTTAGTTTCGCGCTTGTCGTCTAACCTGAACTATACTTTTCAAAGTGGGCGCTGTTTTTTTCAAACACCCAGCGATGATAATATTGTAGACCCCTGCAGATCAGCTGCTAGTTAAAAACACCACTCTACTGTGTACGCAGCATGCATTTCTCGAAATAATATTTGATATGAATATGAATTTATTAATAAGAATGTTTGAAATATTTAAGCCACTTGAAGAATGGACGGTATAACCATATGTGAAGTTGTGTGGAAAGACTTCAAAAAGATTCAGTTACATGCGGAAGGGCAGAAAAATCACACGCCCACTCTTTTTTTCCTTCGCGAAAGCGCATCACTCCGGCTACTCCTCGGCAAGGCAAGCCAGCATCTCACTAAATGCACTGATACAGGAAACAGCGACCCGAGGTATTTCTTTTTATAATGACAATCATTGTATTGTATCATATTCGTACTCTTGCGAATAACAGTATTTAGACCGAGGTACATTTACAGCTGGACGGGCACGGCGGTGTTTTTGGACTCCACCTGTTAATATAACAAAGTAATAAAATAAAATATTGTTGTTCCTTTGTAAAGTGATTAATGATATTATACGACTGCCATCAAACATTAATCTTTAAGGGGGCAATAATCATAGTTTAAATAACTAATATTTTTTTTATTAATCGTGTATGCAAAATACTTTTTAAAAAGTTCCAGAATTTAGAATTCACTTTACATAAGTAAAAAATGTTTTTGAAAATGTTCATGTGTTGCTCCGGAAAGTAAACAGGGTTTTAAGAGTGATGACAGACTATGATAACGGTTTTTCTCACTCTCTCTGTTTATTATTTTTATTTTATTTTCTTAGGGATGGATCCCCTGGTGGCCCAGTCTGAGCTGAATGGCGAGGACAGCTCTGGTTCCGATGGGGCGTCAGTGTTCAGCGTTAGCATACCACCAACGGAGACTGACCGCTTTGGGTTTCTCCTGGGGACCGAATCCACTGTCGGGTCAGTAACTCAGAAGAAGGAATAATATTAATGTTAAAGTTATCGAAAATATTCGTCAGTTATTCTCTTTATATTTACCTCTGCTACTTTTTCTACCTCAACATCCTGGCATGTTGTCATAGAAACAATCGCACCGTCAGTGTGTGGTTTTCCTGTTTCCTGTTTTTGGTGACAGCTAAACATGTTGTAACCTTGTTCTGTATGCAGCAGATGCTTTGTCCTTTTTTTTAACATTTTACAGACAACATAACGAAGACCTAATGATTGTGCAATTGCTTAATTGGGAAGAAGAGGCACAAGCAACAACAGATGGGCTTTTGTGGGCTTGTATGCGGGAAGAGATCAGGGTTGTAGCTTAGATCTGACTAAGTCAGCCAGCTCCACCCTGTAATGCTGGCGGCTAGTCAGACGATGAAAGTAGATGCAGTCATTTATGTAGTGATCTGCTGAGGAGGTTGTTATAAATCAAGGAAAGGAAAACTGGCAAGTCTTGAAAATGTCAAATGGCACACATATCCTAGTCTTTCAGTTACTGCTTGTGAATAAGAATTTAAAAGTAATATGAGGTCAAACAACAAAGATTTGCCCTTCAGCCTATGCTCACGCACTGAAAATTGTGACTGTTACAGGCCAATAAACCAAAACTTATTGCCGTTGAAAGTCTCAGATGTTTAAAAAGTTGAAAATAGTTTCCAGATGGTGGAAGTGAAAGGACCTTCCCTTTGTGTTAAGGTGCAACGTAGGGCAGCAAAGGAAATCCAGTCAAACATAATGGAAAATACCTCTTTCTGAATTTTGATATTTGCTACAATACATTAGCTGAAATTATTATTATTTTTTTTGTGTGAAGCTGATCAACTTAGGCCAGTGTTTCTTATTCCGGTCCTTGGGGACTCACAGAAGCAGGGAGCAAAAATGTGGACTGTCTTGGAGGGAGCAAAAACATGGACTGAGGACCGGATTGGGAAGCACTTTCTTAAGCATTCAGGACATGTTCCTGAAGTATGACAGTATGAGTTTGAAAATGTGATGCATGCATAATTTTGTGTTGATTTGGTTGTGTTACCTTTGTGTGACAGGAGCGAGGGACCGCCACCTGAGCTGGTCCGGCAGAGAGAGGCGAAGTGGCTGAACATTATCATGCAATGGGACCGCATCCTGCTGAAGAGGACCAACAAGGTGACACTAGTTGAACTGAAGAAGAGTGCATTTCCCTTTTAGCACTCATGCAGGACAGTTAGGTTCAGTAATGCTGACTCAAAATGAGCGCTGAATATATATTTTTTTAAAAAGCATGAAGTTTCATATTGACTGTGAAAGGACTGCAATTGTTATGTTAGTCTGACTATTAGATTCAAGCCAAAAGGTACATGGGTGGTCACAAAACACAAGAATAAGGTACAGAAAAACAGACTGGATTTATTTTAATGCAGAAACAGGTAATCACACACTTCACCTACTGTAATATAGGTCCTGATCCAGTGTTGTGCACTTGTTGGTGGTCATGTGGGTGTTAAATTACAGTTTAGGTAACCTGAGCTGATTTAAAACTATCAAGGCAGCATGTGGCTTAGTGGGCTAAGCCTCTGTGCCTGTGATTGGAAAGAATTTCCCCACAGGGATCAATGAAGTATCTATCATTATTATTACTATGAAGAAGACCTGTAAAGGTAGACTTATTATTCTTGAGAAATAAAGGAAGCAGCTACTTTTTTCCTACTAATTTTGGCAGGGGAATATGGATTTTTAAACATTGTTTTTTTGTTTCTGTGTATGCCTTAAAAATTCTGTCAGGTGTTCTTTTAATGACATTCCTGCCATTTGTCTCAGGTGAAAGAGCAGTGTCGAAAAGGCATCCCAGCTTCCCTCAAGGCCCGATGCTGGCCACTTCTCTGCCGCGCCACAGAGAGGATGAAAGCGAATGAAAAACTTTACAAGGTAAATACATCTTTCCTCACCTGCTTTTGTGCCTGCCCAGGCATTTCAGAAATGTGTCTATAGCACGGAGAAGGGAGGCACGGATACGATTTTTCAGTCCTGATACCGATAATAATACCTGAGCATTGGGTATCAGCTGATACAGAGTACCGATCCGATACCAGTGTTTCATTAATAAGCCGTATGCCTCTCTGGGTGAAAGACACTGGGATCATTCTTTTATGTGTAAGGTAATGTCAGGCTTGACTGAATCATTGCTTTCCTAACTTTGTAAAACAAAATGTAAAACATAAACAGATATATTAATAGTTCTTTGCTTGAAAGGTCTCTACCTTGACTGTATTATGTACGCAGACTATGGCTGCCTTCGAGCAGACTACTGTCTTGCGGAAAAGAAAAAGAAAAAAAAAAGATGCATCTAGTTTTTCGGCGGTGGTAAACCAGAGGCATTTTCAACAAGTGCATCACTGCAACATGCCTCTGATTCACCCCCCAAATCTCCACTGGATCCTGTCACACTGGATACCTGCAGTCTCTACATGGGTCTGGCTGCTTTGTCATATTTTAATACACTCGGGAGAGAATGTTATCGTGTTTCGATTGGGTGTAAAGAAATCCCAGAGTATTGTCAATATATAACCCTTTATCTAAGAATCAGTGCAACATAGTATGCGTGGCTTGGACTGCATTAACCTGCTTATACCATGGTTGAATCATATTTGGCTTATATGTTTGTATCAGACTAGGCTGAACCGTAAACGAATTTATTAGTAAAACTACTATTTAGGCTTAAACCTGTAACCCAGCATACCACAGTATTTCCTTTTCTGTCTGTTGTTGGACTTCAAAATAAACTAAGTGCTGCTTTTTCAAATACCATCGAAACACCACATACATGTACCGCAGCGTAATGTCTGGACGGTCTGAAAAATTGGACGTCACCAAGCCTGCTACTGTTAAATATTTGAGTTATATAATCACCTAAGCCACTTTAAGTTAGTCGCGTTTAATTTGCAGTGCTGCTGCCACCCATCAAAACACTGGTTTTGTAGATATTGCAAGTAGCCGTAGAATGTGTTACCGTAGCAACTTCAAGCCTGAAATACCTGCAGGCTGCTGACTCTTTACCTCCCTTGATGCTGGTTAGTGCTCGTTCCAGCAAAATGTACAGGTCTACTGGTGCACTGCTGATGCATGAGGCAACGCACATGCACGCACGCACGCACGCACGCACGCACACACACACACGCACGCACGCGGCTGTAAACGTACAGTAACGTTGAATTGGTCGGCCCATTGTCACCGATTGCAGTGCAGCAATTTTATTTATTGGATGAATATCCAATATCAGACAGGGATGTGTGAAAGGGGTCTCCTACCTTTTCACTATGGAACTCTAATATTTGGAATATATATGAAATGGAATATTTCCAGGGGAGGGACATGGGAGGCATCAGAAAAAAAATTAAGGCTGTTGACTTATTTATATGTGCATTTGGGATAACTCTGTCCCACATTATATAATCAACATTATTCAGTGTCAATGAAAAGTGGGGGGGGGTGGGGGTAGGGCCACCCAGGCCTCTCATTGCCCCCTCCACTGCTTCTGTTGTCATTCTTTCAGGATATACCCTCTTCTCTTTAAGGGTGAATCACTGGCTGAGAGAGCAAGAAGCATATATCTGGACACACCTATTTTAGGGCAGCTTTGTCAGTAAAGTTCTTTCCCTTTGCCCTCGACCCTTTTTTCAGAAACTTGATACGGCACCTGCTCTGCAGACTTGGGTGGATGTGATCGAGAGGGACATCGACAGACAGTTCCCCTTCCACGAGATGTTCCTCTCCAGGGATGGCCACGGGTAACATTCATTTTAGCGTCGTTGCCGACGTGGTGATCCCAGTAACCCTGACCAGGACAGGAAAATGTGCATGAAAACGCAACATTACGAAATGGATGGGAGAATAAAAAAAATTGCATAAAGATTTCTTTTTCATCCTCTCAGATTATTTTTTGGGGGGAATTAATTGTGTACTGTACTTTTTCTTATTAATAAATTATATGACTCGATGTTTAATATTAGATTTGCGCCGATTTCCCTTTTCCTCCCTAATAAGAACCTATTTAGAATCAATATACCCTTAAGTACCTAACAATATCTAAAAAGGCTTTTTTTGGACAGGCAACAAGGGCTTTTCCGGGTCCTGAAGGCATATACTCAGTACAAGCCAGAAGAGGGTTATTGTCAAGGCCAAGGACCCGTAGCTGCGGTGCTTCTCATGAACATGCCTGCTGAGGTGTGGTTGTGTACCATCCATGGGTTGGTGGTCACGTGATTGAAAGGCATATACGGGATACAGGTCCTTTTTATGTTAACTAAGCGGTTTTCTCTTGTTAAGGAGGCTTTCTGGTGCCTGGTGCAGATCAGCGAGCAGTATCTACCTGGATACTATAGCCCTCTGCTGGTGAGCTTCCGGTACTACATCCACTGACATGGGTCTTTGATTGGCTACATCACAATCGTGGGCCCACCATTTCTGGATTAAATTGCAAACCCCCCCCCCCCCCCCACACACAGGAGGGAGTGCTCTTTGACGCAGGCATCCTGAATGGAGTGCTACGCAAGGTATGCCCTGCCGCTCACAAACACCTGAAGAAACACGAGGTGGAGCCACTCATGTTCGCTACCGACTGGCTCATGTGCCTCTACACTCGACACCTGCCCTTCAACACCCTGCTCAGGGTCTGGGACCTGTTCTTCTGCTACGGTTGGCCTCCCGCTCTCTTAGTAGTCCATACACTCAAAACCCTAAAAATTCTCCTCGAGTGCCTGCATCTGCAGTTCGTGGATGTCTGACTCCTTCCTCTGCCGGCAGGCGTGCGGATCCTCTTCCAGGTAGCAGTGGTTTTGGTGCATAGGAGCCTGGGAAAGCAGGAGCAGAGGGACGAATGCGACGGGCAGATGGAGACCCTGGAGAGACTCCGAAGCGTGAAGGACCGCATCTCCATGGAGGCGGATGCTTTCATAGTGGAGGTGGGTTGCCAGATGCTTGTTGTCCACCCAGTCCTCCACTTATGCAACTTCGTCATGATAAACCGGTGACGGCTCCTGACTTACTTCCTCTAGGTGTGCTCAGTACCGTTCTCCAGGAAGGATTTAGAGAGAGAGACCGAAAAGGAGATGGAGAGGTGGAAGAAAGAGCATCCATCTTCGACCTTCAACCCTTGCCTCCGTTGCCACGGGTACCGGGCGGCTTGGGTTAAAGGGAGAGAGAAGGAGGAAGAGTGTCAGAGAAGGGAGCGAGAGATTGGGAACCTCTCCGTTCCCGTGTCGCGATCTCCCTCCTCTCTTTCACCGTCATTTCTTCGAAAGAAGTGGAGAAGAGGCAGCAAAGCAGAGATGAGCGAAAAGGAGGGGAATGGTGGCAGAGAGGAAAACAAGTTGAAGGAGGTTGTCGAGCTAAAGGGCAAGGAAGAAAAGGAAGCCATAAATAATGATGGCAACCGAAGAAAACCTTCAGAGTACAGCAGTGAAGACGCGACGCTCAACCAAAAGGGAGCAGGGCAGGAATCTACACAAGCCGCTGCAGATTCATCCTGCCAAAACCTGGAACTATGCAGTGGTGCTGCAGACCTCTCTCACTCCCAGAACACATGCAGTCTTAGTAAAATGCTAAACAGTTGTGGTGGGGCGAGCACAGACTGTGCATCTGAGGCTCAGGACAGTACCAACACACCCACAGCCCAGATAGAGACCCCAGAAAACCAGACGGAGAATAATGCAGTCGCAGACCACATGTCGCAGCTCGTCTCCGTGCAGACAGGGTCCGTCTTCAGCGAGACGGTGAATTGTTCAGCAGACCAGGGTGAACCACAAAAACCTCTATGCGACAAGGCTGACGAGACTGCTGAAGTAACTAGAAAACTTTCTCAAGAAAGCTGCCAGTCAGAGCCATCAGAGGCAGGAAAGCTCATTTCCCCAAATAGCTGCCCAGAGTCTGATGCCAAAGGTGCTAGCAAATTGAATAAAAACACTGAGGAAAAGCCAGAAGAAACAAATGTTCAAAATACTGGAGAACTAGATGTGGGAACAGAGGAATGCATTAAGACGCAAGACGACTGCAGGCAAAGCTTTGTAAAGGAGACAAGTACGCTGCTTGAAGATTCAAGCGCAAACTCCCCAGATCTAAATGAAACCCAACAGGAAAATGACCAGCCAGTACAGTATTCCCTCCATCCTTCTGAAGATATCAATGAGAATGTCACAAAGACTCCTGAGATGACTGGAGAACCGTCAACAGCAGAAAACACAGAGAAAGTTGACAGCTTAGACATTCCGGCACACCACTGTCAGATCTTCCACGTGCTCCAGGAATCTGAAATTTCTAGCATCTCTTCAGTAGATGAGTCCGAGTTATCAGTACAAAAGCACGCAAACGAGGAGGCATCCTCAGAAGACTCTCCCCAAAACGATCCACTGGCCAGCAGAACCATTATGACTGCAATTTCAGACCAGCCAGCCTGCGATGGAGTCACAGAAAAGCAGCCTGCAACCTCTGCAAGTGAGAGTGATGAAGAGCATTCTGATGATGTCACCCAGATCGAGCCACCTTCAGAGCAAGATAACGATCAAATCCCGGTAAGGAGCTCTGTGGACACAAACTTGCAGGAGAATTTGCAGGGCACAGGACAGTCGTTGGGTGAACATCCTGGTCAAAGTTCAGAGGTGGACATTATTTCGTCGAAGGGTCAAGATTTGACAGAAAAAAGTCCCTGCTCAACCCATGAGACCATGTTGCAAGTGTCAGGAAGTGAGATTACAACAGCCATTCAAGAGGAACAAAAGCCCTTAAATTCTCAAGATGCAGATGCACCTCAAGTCGAAAGCAGACCTCCAGAGGGCTCAGTCATCGCAGTACCATCGGCAGAAGGAAATGCAATAGAATACGAGCAGCAGAATCTGTCTGCTGCTGATATCAGGGAGGAAGCACCTCAACAGCCTAGTCTGACGAGCTCGGGTGCAGTTCAGCAACCGGCAGACCCACTTTGTGCAGCAGAGGACGAGGTAAGAGGGGGATCATTGGACACGTGTGGGACCAAGATGGAGACACCTGAGCGTACTCCTCCTGAATTACATCTCGCGACGGAGATGGAAAAACCAGCTGAATCACAAAATGATCAGGGATGCACTGCGGAGCAGTCAGCTGAATGTCACATAGAACAAATTGAGCTTGAAGCAGAAGTTGGCTCTAAGGACCAGTGTAAAGAGACAATGGAAGCAGACCGAGAAGAAAATGGACAGAACAACAACAGACAAGACGACGAAACAAATTCAGATGCGGGACATTCCTCTCCTGAATCGAAGGACGCGTCCTGTGAAGAAACTAACAGCTCTACCCCACCCAGCACACAAACGTCACAAGGACAACCTCCTGGGACATCCACGGACTCTGTAATGACAGAGGCACTTCCAGAAGTCACGGCAGAGCACGGCAAGGATGAGGCCATCAAGGTGTCTGCTACACTTGAGAACCAGAAATCAAGTGGCACTGGGGAATATAAACTTCGCAAGACATCCAGCTCCAGAACCACGCCGCCCAGAAGGCTGTCGGAGGACACGTTCAAAGAGCCGGAAAGCACCAGATACAACAGTGGTCCCAGTACTGCTTCCTCCACCAGCAGTTCTGCCGCTAACCACACAGGTGGCACCAGAGCTACCACGGCTGTTCAGGACACAGACAAAAGCCACGACACTGAGCACCATAGCACTGAGCACAAAGACTCTTCAAAACGCTTTGGCCTCTTTCGTAGGTTCCGGGGCGACCATGTCACGAACGTCGAGGGGGGCGCCAAGGGCAAGGCCAAGATGACAGTGCCGACAATACTCATACAGGACTTCAGTGAGCAGGTGAGCGAGCAGGAAGAAAGACTGACCGCCAAGGAGAGGAGAAAGAGGAGGAGGGAGGAGGAGAGGAGGAAAAAAGAGGAGGAAAAGGCACGGAAGAAGAGAGAGAAAGAACTGGAGAAGGAAAAAGGAAAGGAGAGGAGGAAACCGCAGACGAGGGGGAAGAGTTTTCAGGTACACAGCAGCAGCAAGACTGACCATGTTGTTCCTTCCCTTGGAAACTCTATCACTCCAGGTTCCAAGAGAAACTCTGCTCCATATTTTGATACTTACTTCTGAGTGTTGGGGTGGATGGCACCAAGTATGGAAGGGACAGACTGTGAAATGCCTTAATACTTAAAAATGTTTAAAAAAATGAGTTTTTCTATAACGTTTTTCAAAACTGACAAAAAAAAACCCAGAAATGTGTATAGAATGTAAATAAAACAGATGTCTAGAAAACAGTACTTTAATCTTGCATTTGTCCTAATGCCTAGAATCCATTAGAAAATGTACAAAATTTCAGATATTTCCCTTATTTATTTTTTATAATATCTTTATACCAACATCATGGTGGTAGAAAGTGTCATTTTTTTTCTCAATAGAGAAGTAAATTCTGCTCAGTGTGCATATGTTGGAAATCCGTCCTTTGAGGTCTCAGCAGGACGTGCTTTGGCACAGTGACCCTCAAGGCCCGTCCACCTGCAGGAGCTGCTCCTTCACACCTCAGCGTTTCCTCCAAAAACTCATCAGTCAGCGCCGGCTTTCCCACGTTCACAGACCGTGCCGCCTGGCAGCCCACAGACCTCCCGATCACTGTGGGGCAAGTGACGTCACGGGGACGGGGAGCCGTCCTCGTCCTCGCTGTCACTGGCCAAGACCTCCTGGCTCTGCAGTGTCCTGTTGGACATCTGGGAGGGGGTAGGCAGCACCGAGCCAAAGAAGAGGGAGCGGAACTGGTGGGAGGCAACATGAAAAAGGGACAGAAGCAGGCAGGATGGAGAGAGTGAGTCAGACGCTCAGACGCGAGATCTGGCAAGTTCATGTGAAAGTAAGAGATTATACAGCAAAATAAGGCCCACAGTTAAAAGGGTCCTACTGTGCTCAATTTCATGGTTTGTAATTTTATTTTTGGGGTGTACTAGAATAGATTTACATGCTTCAGTGTTCCACAAACACATAATTTTTCTCATACTGTACATCTCTATTCACTCTTTAACTTTGTCTGAAATGGTCTGTTAGAGCTTTAAGCCTCACTCCCAGTGAGCCTATTGTGCTCTGATTGGTCAGCTTGCAGTCTGCAGACAGATCCTTGCAGGTAGGAGGCCAATAAGGATTATGTTATGAGGTGACCTCACCAAGTCACGGAAGTAAGGGCTGGAATTCCAACGAGGTGTTTCAGGCAGATTAGAGAAGACTGGTTTCTGTGGTGAGAGTTACTCTCTTTGTCGTGTACTTTGGGCCTTAAGACTTTGCAGACCGTTTACATGCACATAAAGCTATATAACACACTAAAGGAAAGGAAGAAACAGAAAAGCATTATAAGGTCCTTTAACGGCAGCTATGCTCACCTTCTTATTGGGTGGTCGGCCTGATTCCTCCACTGGTGTCTCCACTGCTCCCTGCTGCCCATCCTCGTCCTCACACTCTCCGCTGGACTCCTGCTGGTCTCCGGCGGCTCCATGGAGCCGAGGTGGAGTCAGAGCGTGCCGAGGCGGCTCCGGCCAATCGGAGTCTCCGGCGAGCTCGCCGGCCTCCATGGCAATGATGTAATCGACGTCGTCGTTCATGAAGTCGTCCGTAATAGGTGGCTCTGAAACTCTGCGGAGAAAAGAAAACTTCCACTAATTAAAAAAAGAAGCAGCAGCAGACCCTAAGCCAACTTAACCATTTTGTTACTAAAATTCAAAGCAGTAACATTTACCCACTAAGCAGGAAAAGACTTTTATTAAAAATACTGCAGCACTTAGCCGAAGTTCTGTTATCATATAGTGTAGTACTGCATTTAGAGTAACCTACCGTCTCATATTGCTGTTGTGGTTCCGAGGCTGACCTTCCTCAGACAGGGTGGCCAGCACAAAGTTTACCTCCAAAACGCTATCTGTGAGGCTCAACACCATAGGCCTGACCACAGCAGACGAAACAAAGAGATAGGCTTCACTGGGCATGTATCTTACCACAGCTACCCATTAACGAGACCACAGAGAGTAACGACATCCTAGCAGAAAGGTGATCTAAGAGATGTTGTTGAATGACAAACAGCACTCCGCTAATCGGGGTTTTGGCTGTATGGCTACACGCGGCATACCTGCCAGGCTCATCGAAGTACAGGGAGACAGGGAGACCAGAGGACTCTGCAAACACCAGCAGCCCCTAGAAGTCAGCGAAGGAGCACATGAGCGTGTTCTTCAGCAGCTAAAGAAACGCCCGTCCACATCGAATCCCTCTCCATCTCTCACCCTCAGCTCCTTGAGACAGAAAGTGATGCATGTGTGCATGTTGACAACGAATCTGTCAAACTCTTCTGCGCTGAGGCAGAACTCCGTCATCATGGCTTTGGACTGTTCTGGAAAAGAAATGGGAAAAACAGGGGGGAGCTGGATTATACAGGCAGCATTACACCCCTACAAGTACCATGGTTTGGCTTCATCACACACAGCAAATAAATATGTTTATTTCTGTGCAAAATGAAGGATGATTTGATTAGGGCACAAACCTGCTTCGTCCTCGACGTGATTCCTGAACAACACTCTTTCGTCATTCACGGACACTCGCACTTCTTCCAGAGATGGAGGGAAGTGAAGTACTGTATCTACCAGTAGCCTGGAAGAATGGGGGGAATGGAAGCCGTACGAGGGGTTCAGCACAGGTCACTCTCTCCGAGAGAGATGTTGAGATAGAAAGCGGGGCAGGTGTGCAGGCCTACGCACTTGGGCTGGGCGGTGAGCGTGTTGGCACAGCCCTCTTTGTCGAACACGGCCTGCAGGCTCTCGCTGTCCTGGAACGAGAGGTTGTGCGTCTTCAGCAGCCCTATGTGGGGCAGGGGGGGAAGGGGGGGACAGATGTCTCTCCACAACCGCTTGGCAGCCAAAGGCATGAAGTGGCAGCATTTCTGACGGCCCCCCCACCCACCATGTTTGCAGTGCAGGGTGAAGGTCAGGCGGCTCTTCTCGATGTCCAGCTCGATACGACACTTTTCCACCGTCTTCTCCAGGGAGGAGAGGGACTTGAACACAGCCTGCACAGACTGGGACAGAGAGTCGATGGTTCCAGTACAGTGGTGCACAGCTGACCAAGTGTTCCACTGGTGTGGAATTTTAAAAAAAGTATGTGCATATGCATATATATATATATATACACACACACATACATACATATACATACATACATACATACATACATATACACAGACACACACACACAGCCTGGCCAAAAAAAAAAGTCACCATTTGAATTTGTCGTTGGGCCTCCTTTAGCTGTGATTATGGTGCACATTTGTCATGACATTGTTTCCACAGGCTTATGCAACATCTCACCCTTTATTTTCATCCAGATTTGCATTAATTTCTCACCGAGATCCTGTATTGACAAGTGAGTTGAACCTCCATAAAGCCTCCTTCAGCACATCCCAGAGACCTTCAATGAGGTTAAACTCACAACTCTGTGGTGACCAAGTCATACGTGAAAATGATTCCTCATGCTCCCTGAACCACTCTATGACAATTTGAACCCAATGAATGTTGGCATTCTTGTCCTGGAATATGCCCATGCCAACAGGGAAGAAAAAATCCATTGATGATGGATGGAGGTGTAACCTGGCCAGTAGATTCAGGTACTCAGCCGACTTTACTTTATTTCTGCATAACCTTACTGAACTGTAATAATGATCCAATCATTGGCTCTTAAGTATTTGCTGATATAAATTCAAATGGCGACTATTTTTTTTTTTGGCCGGGGAGTATATAATATAAATTTTATGTGCATATATATTTGCGCATGTGTGTGTGAATTTGAAATGTTTTGCTAAATATCAAGTTATAAGACTTATAGGACATAAAAGACAATGCAGAGCATAACATATATACCAATCATTATGCCTACATATATTGTGCCCTTTGCTAACTGTTCAAAAAGACTTATCAGTATATGGCAGGATATTTTAAAATTGAGGCTGACATGGATGCACATCCCACACCTTGATGACCATCTTGCAGCGCTGAGTCGAGCTTTTGGGGGGGGTGTATTTCTGGAAGAAGAGCGGAGAGAAGAGGAAGCAGGCATACGCCGACCGCGACGAGTTAACGGTGCGGAGAGCCAGCTGGGGAGGCAAAAGATGAGAAGAAAAAATATCTTAACACCTAAAATAACTGGTCTGGAAACGGACTAAAGAAGCACAATGCACAGTCAGTGGAAAGACGGACTAAAAACATACCCCATTTTCCTGCGGCTCCAAGTACAGCTCCTCTCCGAGCCTGGATAGCGACTGGACAGCTTTTGCCAACACTGAGGTCAAAGCATCCAAGCAATCGAAATGACAAGTAGCACTTAGCCAACACATTATCATTTATAAACAATAACATGACCTTTGTAATAACACCTCAGAAATGACAGGCGAGTCACAGTCAACAAAGTTCTTTAATACTCTTCATATGTTGTACCACAATTACTGAGTACCTTTCACGTTGCTTCCTATCAAGATGCAGTCCATTGTGTGTATGAGGCAGCGTTCTCGGGATCACTGCAGCAGCGTATTTTGTTGTTTATCTAAATGTCGGCATGAATCACGCTATTACTGTTGCGCAAAAGACTGCTGGAGTCACAAACCTCCCAAAGCCAAAAAACAAGCAGTCAAAAAGTATGTATTACTTTGAACAGAAACTTAACGGCGCATTTTTTTCTCAACAGTCCCACTGCAGATGAGAATGGAGTTGACAACGATGACCCTGAAAAAAATGACAGCTCTGGTATATGGATTGGTCACGTGGGTGGGGTGGATCAATTCAGCACTGTAAGGGGATTTGAACGGACACCCTGCAATTCCAGTTATGGCAAATTAGTTCATAACTTACTGCACAAAGTTAATATAGTTATCAGAAATCTCCTGTCCTTATTTACACTGAAAACATAAAAAGAAAACACTATTACCAAACCTAGATGCATGCAATTTTCACTGCAGCTTCCACTGCCGGATAACATTAAACAAAAATTAATCTAATGGATAGCTAATCAGTTAATATATATATAAATGTGTGAATTTCACACGTGGGAGCTCAAATTAAATAATTTTGGACAGACAACTACATTTCCGTTCATTTTCACACAGTTACTGAGTTAGCGCGTACCAGCTTGTTCGCCTAGCCATGTGTAGCTAAGGCTGTTTCCGGGCAAATAACATTTAGTTGGTCAGTTAATGAAAATATTCAAATTCCGGGTTTTCCGACAACACCAAGCCCCACTGACACAGTTCCACCGCCCACCTACGGCTATATGCCCCGAACACCTAACCGAAAACATCCAAAGAAATAAACTCACTGCTCGGCGAACTTCAAAAACGTCACGACGCGGTTCTTCCTCAGTAAACCATTGGCTAGAAAAGCGATTCATCTCATTGGTCCGTCGTCTTCTTCGTGTACTCAGTAATAAAATCTCTAACAATTTTCACTAGCGCCATCTTCTGTACGGGAGTGCGAGAGCTCAGCAAAAGTTAAGTATTCTATTTATTTTTCTTATTTATTTACTTATTTGGAAAGCGAACCAAAGTGTGAAAAAGTATTATTTGAACATGGGTAATTTAATAATCCATGGAGTCGCGTGATAGGTGAAGAAGGAAGCATAGCAGTGGTCAACACCCATTTCCATCAAGTTTACTACTGAAACATATTTTGACGTAAAGAAAAAAATACCGATTACAGTGATTACACTTTTAAATCTAGTTACAGGGTTGGCAACTTTGGTCAGCCGGCTCACGTGAGATTTTCAATTCGAGACAGGTCTGCACACACATGGACACGTATTTACATATTTGTAACAGTTTTAGTACTACGCAAGTATAGTTTACATTGGCTTCGAAAACTACTTTAGGTTCATAATTTAATAATATAGATATTATTAAGATTTCTTGCCTGAGCGTGAGAGTCTGAAAGTGTACGTATGACACCAGATGCATGAGTTGGCAACCCTGCAGTTACTAATACTTTTAAAGTACAACGTACAGAATTGTATCAGAATTGTTTAATTTGCTTATTTTTCACCCACACAAAGACACATTCTTAAAGAACCAATAATTTTGCACTAAGAAAAAAAAATATGGAGGGGAGGTTCTGAATGAGTACAGACGCCTGTGTGATAAGCAGCATGAAAACAAACCAGTTAGCTTGTCCCTCTCGTCTATCCCGTCTGTCAGGTTCCCTTGTCAAAATCTAAAGAACTCATCTGCTGTCTCCTTGTCATTCCTCCATACGGATGGCACGAACACAGAGGCAAACTCCTTGTGTGTATAAGCGTGTGAGAGTGTACGTTACGAAGTGAAGGATTACAATAAGGGGTTATAGCGACTGTTTATGTAAGTCACGGCAATTCAAGCCTGCTGGGAGAAACCCTGGAATACAGAGGGATCGGCCTTTTCTTGGTCACCACGGGGACGTTTGTGGAATGGAGGAGGACATAGACAAATAAAGAGAAAAGGGAATATTTGCACTTGTGTGCTTCAAAAAAGAAATAAGATGATTTCAGAAAGATTGAATGATGAAGAAGAATGAAACACAGAAAGAACAGGAAAGAAGATTGAATTTTGATGGAGGAGCATAGAGGCAATGTGCTTGAACAGCAGAGGATATTGTTATGCATTGAGAAGATGAATACAGTATATGACAGACTGCTGGGTGGCCTGAACATGACTTTACCTTGACAGAAAGACACAGAGTGATTCAAGGCATTCCAAAGAGATTCTGAAGTCTTCAGTAACATTTCCCTGAATGTCTCAACAAAACTATATGACGGACACGCAGTCTGTATTGCTGTCCATGCTGGCGAGAATGAAGATCAACTCAGCGGAAGCCACACAGAGCCAGCAACCACAAAAACAGCAGTGCACTTTTCCCACAGGCGGAAACTTGGGTAAATACGGCCCAGTTCTGACAGCATGTGCCACTAACACAGGTGAGCAAAGTCCAGTTACCTCTGGCGATGTAACCAAATCAGTGGAACATACCAAACAGTGGGCTCATGGGGGGAGAAGTAACAGAGATTTAAGTCTGAAATTTGAAGTTCCGTCACTGGATTGTTCTAGAAAGTCTGCCTTCACTAATCAGGATGAGAACTCTGCCGTTATTATTCCCAAATGGAAACGGATACAGATGTTCCCCTGTTCTGAAGCTCCGGATCACATTCCTCCCATGAGGGATGCTGAAAATGAAATGACTCCGACAGCTATATGTACCCCGGCTATAAGAGAGCGGGAGTCTCTCTGCATGGAAATTGCAGGCTCACAGGAAGTCACAAATCAAACATATCCTCCACAATGGGACATTAACCAACAAAAGAAACACGGTGATCAAAGTTCTGGAGTATTGAGAGACACTGTCAGGGTTGGGGGGCCTTCACCTTTGGCAGCTTCCTACCCGGGGGGTGCTGGAACTCTTAATTTTGCAGAGTTGAAAGGCACAGGTGGGAAAGGTCATCTCATTCCCACACAAAATGTGATAAGACAGAAACAGCAATCTATGGATGTCACAGTACACAATACTAGTACTGGCTCTACTAGTTTGAATCCAGAGAAGTACTCAGAAAACTATTTGGCTTCTGATCCTGACTTATGGAATAAAATCAAATGGGACAGGTCAGTTCGGAACGCAAGAGATGACAATTTCACAAGTGCCCCAGAATTTTGGAAGCTGGACACCGTTCCAACACACGACTCTGGAACGGGGAAGAAAAAGAGGAAATGGATCAATGGGAAAACACTGCGATGGGCCCAGAAAATAAGGCAGAGCTGGAAGGAAAGACAAGTCACCGTGAAGGAAGGAGAACAGGGAGCGAGCTGCCAGTTGAGGGAAGGAAAAACAGACGATCAGGTGGCACAGAATGTGAGTATTTTTGACCTTTGACCTTTTGTCAGTGTGACTTTTTACATTTAGCAAAAGCTTTCATCTAAAGTGGCGTACAAACGAGCAAAGCTTGTACAAATGACTTGCCGCATTTAGGGTTAAGGACCTTGCACAGTGGCCCAATGATGATATGATTACTCTGCCAGTCACGTGATTTGAATCCATGACTTTATATACAGACACTGTCCTACTGAGAGTTTGATGGTTCAATTTCAATGTTTTTGACATTTCTGGTTTATTGAGTTATAATATATTTCCCATATATTATTCATGTATACATTCTACAGTTGCATGACAGTATGTTTATGACGGGCGAATTCAATTCAAGTATGCACACATATAAACACAACAGAAAGAAAACTGAAAGAAGCATATCTGATGGCCTGCTTTTTCATAGGTAAAACATCCAGTTCAAGGATCAAGCAGAGCTGACATTTTCAATGACATTCACGTGGGAAGGGAGGAGACTATCTGTCAGAAAGATCTTAGCGGACAGGTCAACATGTCCATTCCCAATCAGGAGCCGGCAGCTTTTGGGAGGTATGGGAATTCAGTGTATAATATAACATTGACTCGATGTAGCCTTGACCGTAATAGACATTACATTGAAGTAAACATTTTGCTTTACTGGCCTGTCACACTAGAATAAAACTATACTTGACAGTTTACATAAAAATCTGGTTTCATGTGTCACCATGGAATGAGTCAGCGGTCTGTCCATCAGCTCCCAGAACTCTTGGAATGCAATGCTGAGATTCCAGGAATGGTTTTCATAGTTTTGTTGAGAATCACGCACATACAATAGCGTAAAGCAGGTGTTGAATATAGTTAACACAATACGTTGCTATGGTGACGGACCATCTAGCACTGTTTTCTCACCTGAGTATCCCCCGTGTTTAAGTGCACATGATTTGTATGTGATTATTTCGGCTGCTCTTACTTCTGCTGGCAGTCTAAAGGCATGTTCAGATGAATCAGTTTAAAACACTGGAATGTAAATGTGTGTTTCGGGGAGTCCTGTGATTGACTGGTGTTGAGCGTTGGGGCTGTCAACCAGGGCAGGTTCAAGGCTGACTGTGATACTGTATTGGACAGACACCTGAAAGTAAACATATAAAGCGTGATAATACGCAGGCTTCGTTTGTTGAAGTGCATGTAATTGATATTACTCATTCCTATAATAATAAAGTCTGTATTGTTATCCATACTATTCCAGGGGGTTAAATGACTTTCAGTTCAACTTTAGCCCCATAAACTTCGCGGATGAAATCTTCGCGAGTGAGCACTGGTCCAAATTCTCGTCCCATGAAGAAAGACTGAGTTCCATGAAAGCTTCAAGTCCATCTGATCCGAAGATGCCATCCTGGATTCGGGAGAACGTTCACAATGGTGAAATGAAGATGACGGAAAAGCAAGCAAACCAATCAGGGTTCAGAACACATGATGACAGTCCAGTAAAAAAGAGCAGTACACAGGAAAATACTTTTGGGGTTTCACCTCTTGTTGTGCCAGTCAATGATGGGAATGGAAACGAAGTAAACAAGGCAATGTCAGAAGTCTGGAGTTCAGCTCCATCATGCTTTGAACAAGACCAAGAAGAATCAAAGGAGGCGATACCAAGCAACCTTTCTTTTGATGTCTTACAGGTATGACCCCTTGGAGTCTTCACTGTAAATATCCTGATGGTTAGTTAAAGAGCTGACCTTGTGATTCTCCCTCAGCCAGTCAAAGTCCTGGATAATTCTGCCCTGATGAGTCGGGTCTATCTCAACCGGAAGAGGCTGCACCTCACACGGGAACAAAGCATTAGCAATGAAGAGGAGGAGCACTTGGTGTTCAGGGACTCCACAGGTAGAAGATCGAGCGTGTCTCACAGGTGACAAAAAACACAGAAACCTTCATACTGAAGGGTATCTCACAGAAGGTCTGCCTTTCTCTCGCTCAGGGTCGCCACATGAAGGTTCCACATCAGAGATGCAGACAGTGGAGTCGCAGAATCAGGTACACGCCAATCTCACAGCTTGGTGTTCCTCTACCATTGCTCTTCCCATCCACACATCCATAATCTCTGCAGCTCCTTGTTTTGTTCACAGGACTCTGATGTCTGTTCATGTCTTGAAACCGTCGCCAAAAAGGTACGGTGTTGATTTGCAGTGTAGGCACCTCACATGCATCCCCAGCATGATGCATCATGTTGACCGACTTCCCCCCCCTCCTCCTCAGAGAAAGTTGCGGGACCCCACAGAGGACACCCGTCACGTCCACTTTGCCGAGGTGCTGGTGACAGACATTCCCTCCCTGCCATACTATGAGACACGGGACGTGTCCCTCCCCAAGTGGATTGTGGCCATGAAGAAGAAGAGCAGGAGGAGAAATAACAGATCACTCCAGGATGCTTTTCATGATTTCTAACGTGGTTAAGAACGCAGCCATAAGTCATTAATTCTGCTGTGCTACTGTATGCCACGTAATTTTTCTCTTTGTTGCAAATTTGAAGTGCATATGAGGAGCTGAAATAACCAATGATTGCATGATTAGATGTTTTCGTCTACCACATACAGGACTGAGTTGAAATACAGCGCTGCACAAAACTCTCAGGAAGTTTAAAGCTATTTATCTGGGTAGTAAATGTATATTTGTTCAGAACAAAAATAGAATTTAACATAAGAGCTTATGAAAATGAAGAGTAACACAATAAAAACTAACAGGAATTTCTTCTGTTCTCCAGAAAGTTACTTGTTGGATGGCTAGAAGGTATCTTGTTGGATGGCTACAAGAATAATTTTTCTGTTCCTAAACCCTGGGATCAGCGTTTCAACATGGGGGAAACTTTATTTCAAACAGAATGTACAAGAAAGGACCATGTGGGGTTAAAACCATGGTCAGAAAGGCAGAGATACACAAAGGACCAGGGCTAATCTGAACACATGGTTAGGTAGGGTAAACAGGAACAAAGAAACACTAATGACAAAAACAAATACATCACAAGCATAACTTAACACAGCACTCACATCTACATAAGAACATAAGAACATAAGAAATTTACAAACGAGAGGAGGCTGACAAAGGAACAGGGCAGGGATAGGCACACATATACTCTGCTAATGATGGCTACATGAGGAACACGTGATAAAAATGAACTAATAACCCACACATTAGGAGCAGGGAAGGAAATGGGATGGCCAGCGACATCTGCTGGCCAAACCGGAACATGACAGACATGGTAGGGACAGATCCTGACAGGTGTTTGCTGCAATTACTGGGGTACACTTTAGGAAACGTTTTGAAATGGTAATGAGATGGAAAGACGACACACTTATAGTTTTACACCAAAATGAAGATCATTTAAACATTTTATTTTGCACAATACTGTAGGTATATTATTTAAAAGTTTCACAGTTCAGGAATACACCCAATAACCACTTTATTAGTTATACCCGGCTAGTACCAGCTATGACTCACTTCTGCTTCCAAAAATTAAAGGTTCTCAGCAAAGCTACAAAAATTTAATATGGTATTTTTATTTCACCTAAACTCTAGACACTGTATTTTGTGTGAACATCTCAGGTGTATCTGGTCCCCAGGGGCCCACAGGTCCATGTGTTTGCCCCCTCCCAGCTCCTGGTAGGGGGGGGGGGAGCAAAAACATGGACTGTAGGGAATTCAGAGGGAGCAAAAACATGGACTGACTTTGGGCCCCCGAGGACCGGAGATGGGAAACACCATCTTAAAGAATTCGAGGTGTTCCAAGTGCAGCCCTCTGATGGACACCTTCAGAATTTCCTGAGCTGTGAAACTTAGTCACTAAAAAGTGTTTTAACCTATTAGCTCCACAAATTTCCGGTTATGCTTAGAAAAGGAGATTGACCCTACGTACCGTATTTATCAAGGGCACATTGCCTACAGTAAAAGAGTGAAGGGAATAAATTAAAAACAGTATAATTTCAGTTTAAATTAATTTCCACAGAGGGAACTGGTGTACAAACCTTTCAGAATAAAGAAAAAATAATTAAAATGCTTACACCTGAGTCCAGCAGACTAAATACCGTAATGCTCTGTTCCCAGGGAGCGTAGGTTACATGCTGTGTATTTTGGAGTGGATTCAAAATGCAGCAGTAAGGATCGCGATGAGATGGAGCAAAAATGACCAGCTTAAGTGGTGCAGAGATTTCCAACCATTCCACCGGGCCCCAGACCACTGGGCGTTTCTGGGAGGAGGAGAGGTGAGCGTGCGCTGATTACAGCGCGTTGCCGCACCCACCACACGACAAACCACCTCAGGGACGAGAACCTGAGTGCAGCCATGGGGCGGGCGATACCTCAGCACCACACCAGTCCAATCCTGCCACCAACGGGGCGGCAGAGGGAGGGGCTGGTTCATTTCACATTAGTGCGTTCTGATCTAGAAAAGAAAATGCAAACTGTTAAAATTGCAGCATCAGTCCTGTTAAACAATTTGCCCTCCCCCCAAGCGAGTAGTTTTAGCACCAGGAACGCCCCCCCCTACCCTCGGTTGACAAGTTTCACCGGCCTGTAACATTTTTGCACTGCATACAAAACGTTAAAAATCTCCTGTTTCCTTATAAGGTAAAAAAGAGTCAGGCTTATTTACCTAAACTGATCAGCATGTACTGAGATCACAGAATGAAGGCCGTCGTGTAATTCCTCACGTACAAAGGCGGTTGGCGCCACAGTGAACCACGGGACGCCTGGTCGATGGGACAGGCTGCCAGCACAGGTGAGGGATGCCTCCTCTACAATCTGATTGGTTATCTCTCTGAACCAATCATTTAGTGTTTTTTTCCTTTACACAGTTCCTTTCATCTGGTTCTTATTCACTAATCATAAGTATTTTAACCCTAATGTCCATGTTAAGTGATGTCAGGGTTAACCATAAGGGTGGGGGGAGGGAAATAAGACACTGGGGTGGGGGGGGGACCATGGGAAAAATGAAATGATTGGCAAATTTTATTGTCAGTACCCTCAAAAATTCATATTTTGCTTAGGGCCCTGAAATGGGTAAGGGGGTGGGGGGTGGGGGGGCATTTGGCAGCCATTGTGCAGTCCTGTGTGCTTTGGCCCTACCATGATTAAGGTGCTGGATGCAAATCAATTAATTTAATTTCTCCGTGAGGTAATAAGTTTACATCCCCTTGGCTCATGGACGAGGTCGGCGGAAAGTGGCATGATGATTTGGTCGACATGCAGCACATTACGTTTCAGTTGTTTGTCTGTTAACAATGTTTCTGTTGCTAAAAAATCTTTTTATATTTGGAAATGAAAGAGGAAAAAAAAAGCTGTGACACAGGGCGTGGTGTGTGGCCGGGCCGGTTGGGCTGCTGTGTAACTTCACTTTGGATGCTTCAACAAGACCATTAACCCCCAGTGGTAACGTTTTAGAATTAAGTGATCAGTGTTAACACACCACAGCAATTAAATGAGTCCCCTGCATTTAACCCATATATGATGTTGTGACATAGCAGGGGGGCAGCTAATTCAGCACCTGGGGAGCAGTGCTTGGGGGCTGTACCTTGCTGGTCAGGGATTCAAACCTGCAATCTTTCAGTTATAAGTGCATCTCCCTAACCATTAAGCCACCACTGCCCTCAGGGGGCACCAACAATACACACTTACCTAATGTGTTAATTAACTAGACTCTAAGTCTAAATTACGTACCGATCCCAGGTTCGTTCATCAATAATCAATCATGGCATTTCATGTATTTCGGAATTTTCAAAATTAGAACTCACTTTATTGCCAGTATGTACAAACATACCAGAGCTGTTTGTGGTCCAGGACCAAACATGAAGTACAGGACAGAATTACAAGACACACAGGGGAACACCTGACAGAAAAGTATGTGAACAAAAGAGGAATACAAATAAGAGAGTACAGATCAACAGAAGACAGTGCAAGACGTCTTAAGACAATATGTCAAACGTTAGAACTAGTGCAAGAACCATTTTAGAGTAAGTTGAAAGGATATTGCAGATATATCATGAATGGAAGACTGGATTTGACCCTGGGGGAGTGCATTGCACCTGGATGACAGACTATTGAGGTACTAGGTGAGTTTATTTAGGAGCTGGGTGGGGGAAGAAGCTGTAGAGATGGTGTGAGGGTCGGGTCATGATGCACTTGAACCTCCTCCATGACGGCGGTTTGGTGTGGTGGTGACTGCCTGGGTGGGTGGCATCAGCAGCAATCTGCCCAGCTCTCCTCTCTGCCCAGGTGGTGAACAGGTCTTCTAGTGATGGCATGTTCTCAGCTGAGCGGACCACACATCTTTAACTGGCCTTGGAGAGAGTGGAGGCAGCAGGAAACCAGATGGTGTTGGAGGACTTCACGACACTCTCAATGATGGCAGGGTAGAAGTTTAGTAGGATGTGTTGGGAGATGTTGAGCTTCATGAATTGAGTTGAGTTTCATGCTGGAGCTGTATTAGTTCATGATTTGTTCTTCAGTAATAACTGAGTCAAAGATATTGGTGCCCTCTCCAGTAAAGTGATACCACCCCCATTTGCTCCAGGGACTGGTCGACCCCTTTTTCCTTTGAATGAGAATTTAGTGATGAGTGGTCATTGTCAACACACCACAGCACACAGTGCGCAACAACAAAATGTGGCCTCTGCATTTGATCCATATGTGACTTTCGTGACATAGCAGGGGGCAGCTAATTCAGCGCCCGGGGAGCAGTGCTTGGGGACGGTACCTCAGTGGTGACTTGCTGGTGGGGGATTCGAACCTGCAATCTTTCAATTACAAGTGTGCTTCCCTAACCATCAAGCCACCACTGCCCACTGGGTAATATTATCTGCTGAAAGAACACAATGAAAAAGCCATAATGAAAAAGAGGAACAGTGTTATAGTGTGGCTGACCCTTTGTTGAAGGAAACATTTGTTCCATCACATTTATTATGGGGGTTGGCATGGGTGTCGTTAGGTCCGATTGCTTGGGGCTATAGCCCTGAGTATTTTACCGCTGATGTTATTCGGAAAATGCATTTTCTGTTTTTTTTACTGGCAATTTTAGCACCACAGCCTTGAGCTTCTGTTTGACAGATATTATTAGCCTTCATCTACATTAACCAAGAAGTTAGCCCTGGTTAGCTCTTCTCAGGCCTTTATCAGGTAGCTTTCAGAGAACAATTTCCATTGCACTACATGTTTTGCTATGAAAGTGGAGCCGCAAGTAAAACTTATCTTAGAGCTTAGAACTTATCTTAAAGCTTAAAACTTATTTTAAAAAACTATAAACACCGGAATGTTGGAATATGGATATCTGGTTTCATTTTCTTATCATAGGTGTTACGGTTGGATAATCTTCAGTTCAACAGCAAAAATGTCTTATTGATGAGAAGAACCTCTCTATCTACCCTTATGCTCATACACAACATGCACTTGGTGTTAATAAAATGGAGTCATTGTACCATTTAATTTGGTGCGCAGTACCTTAGCATCTCAGCTGAGTTTGCACATGTTCTATCAGTGTGTTGGACAGGGTGGGGTATTAGCTGAAACATACTGAAACATACTTGTCCGTTCAATTTCCAAAGGTTCACAGAATCCTTCCAGAAGCAGCACACAATGTTGCTGTACAGTCGGACCTCCAGATCCATGGGTTATGCATCTGTGGGTTCAATCAACCGCGGATTGAAAATATTTGGAGAAAAGATTCCAGAAAATTCCAAAAAGCAAAACTTGAATTTGCTGC